ATTCTTGGTTGATAGGAATTTCCGCCCCCCACCCCTTTCAGCATTTTGAATATATCAAGCACTCCCTTCTGGCCTGTAATGTTTCTTCTGAGAAGCCACTGATAGTCTTCTGGGAATGTCCTTGTGTGTGATAACTTTTTTCTTTGCAGCATTCAGTATTCTTTGTCTGACTTTTCATGGTTTGATTATAGTGTGTCTCTGTGTGGTCCTCTTTTGGTCATCCAAATTGGAGTCCTTTGAGCTTCTTGAATTTGGATGTCCATTTCCTTCCTCAGATCTGGGATGTTTTTGGCCATTATTTCTTCAGGTAAGCTCTTCACACTTTGATCTGCCTCTCTTCTCCTTCTGAGATTCCCCTAAGGCATATATTGACCCACTTGATAGCATCCCATAAGTCCTCTAGGTGTTCTTCACTTTTCTTTCTGCTCTTCTGATTTGATAATATTAAATAACTTGTCTTCAAGTTTACTGATTCTTCTGTGTGATCAAGGCTAATGCTGAACCACTCTAGTGAATTATTTCAATTAAATTATTGTGCTCACCAGCTCCAAAATTTGGTTCTGTTTTGGTTTATATTATTTTGTTCATATATTATTTTCCTGATATCATCACTTTTTTTTTTTCCCACAGAGACAGGGTCTTGCTGTGTTACCCAACCTGGTCTCAAACTCCTGGGCTCAAATAATCCTCCCACCTCAGCATCCCAAATTGCTAGGATTATAAGCATGAACCACTGTGCCTCACCTAGTTGTTTTTCTGTGTCTTGTAGCTCATTGAGCCTCTTTAAGATTACTACTTTGGGAGAATAAAATACCTAGGAATACAACTAACAAAGAATGTAAAGGACGCTTCAAGAACTACAAACCACTGCTCAACAATATAAGAGAGGACACAAACAGATAGAGAAACAGTCCATGCTCATGGCTAGGAAGACTCAATATCGTGAAAATGGCCATACTGCCCAAAGTAATTTACAGATTCAACACTATCCCCATCAAGCTATCAATGACCTTCTTCACAGAACTGGAAAAAAACACTTTAAACTTCACATGGAACCAAAAGAGAGCCTGCATGGCCAAGTCAATTCTAAGCAAAAAGAACAAACCTGGAGGCATCACACTACCTGACTTCAAACTATACTACAAGGCTACAGTAATCAAAACAGCATGGTACTGGTACCAAAACAGAGATATAGACCAATGGAACAGAACAGAGAACTCGGAGGCAATGCCACACATCTACAACCATCTGATCTTTGACAAACCTCACAAAAACAAGCAATGGGGAAAGGATTCCCTGTTTAATAAATGGTGTTGGGAAAACTGGCTAGCCATGTGCAGAAAGCAGAAACTGGACCCCTTCCTGACACCTTACACTCAAGTTAACTCCAGATGGATTAAAGACTTAAACATAAGACCTAACACCATAAAAACCCTAGAAGAAAATCTAGGCAAAACCATTCAGGATATAGGCATAGGCAAGGGCTCCATGACTAAAACAGCAAAAGCACTGGCAACAAAAGCCAAAATAGACAAATGGGACCTAATTAAACTCCAGAGCTTCTGCATAGCAAAAGAAACAATCATAAGAGTGAATCAGCAAACAACAGAATAGTAAAAAATTTTTTCAATCTACCCATCTGACAAAGGGCTAATATCCAGAGTCTATAAATAACTAAAACAGATTTACAAGAGAAAAACAAACAAGCCCATTCAAAAGTGGGTGAAGGATATGAACAGACACTTTACAAAAGAAGACATATATGAGGCCAACAAACATGAAAAAATGCTCATCATGACTGGTCATTAGAGAAATGCAAATCAAAACTACATTGAGATACCATCTCATGCCAGTTAGAATGGCAATCATTAAAAAATCTGGAAACAACAGATGCTGGAGAGGATGTGGAGAAATAGGAACACTTTTACACTGTTGGTGGGACTGTAAATTAGTTCAACCATTGTGGAAGACAATGTGGCGATTCCTCAAGGACCTAGAAATAGAAATTCCATTTGACCCAGTGATCCCATTACTGGGTATACATCCAAAGGATTATAAATCATTCTAATATACAGACACATGCACACGAATGTTCATTGCAGCACTGTTTACAATAGCAAAGACTTGGAACCAACCCACATGCCCATCAATGGTAGACTGGATAGGGAAAATGTAGCACATATACACCATGAAATACTATGTAGCCATAAAAAACAATTAAGTTTGTGGCCTTTGTAAGGACATGGATAAACCTGGAAACCATCATTCTCAGCAAACTGATGCAAGAACAGAAAATCAAACACCGCATGTTGTCACTTATAGGTGGATGTTGAACAATGAGAACACATGGACATAGGGAAGGGAGCATCACACACTGAGGTCTGTCAGGGGGAACTAGCGGAGGGACAGCGGGAGGTGGGAAGCTGGGGAGGGATAACATGGGGAGAAATGCCAGATACAGGTGATGGTGAGGAAGGCAGCAAAACACATTGCCATGTGTGTACCTATGCAACAATCCTGCATGTTCTTCACATGTACCCCAAAACCTAAAACGCAATAAATTATATATATATATATATATTTTTAAAAATTACTACTTTGGATTCTTTGCTGGGTAACTCAAGAGCTGTTTCTATAGGGCTGGTTTCTGCAGTAGTTTGTTCCTATGGTTGAAGAATGTTGCCTTTTTATTTTTTGGTGGAATTTGGGCATTTGAAAGAAGTCAAGCCTCTCCCAATCTTTACAGACTAGCACTATACAGGGGAAGATCTTTCCTAATCAGCCCAGCTAGAGATTCTGGGCTAAAGATTCTGTCAAATCTTTCCAGCAATGTGTCTTCTCTGGGCTTGTGTTTAGAATTTCCCAATTAAATAGTTTTGCCTGTTTCTATTGCAGGGGCTCATAATCTCTTCCTCACTCTGGGATCTGTCTGCAGTTGCAGGTTCTCCCTACTGCAACAAGCCACTGAGTGTTCCTTTGTTTTCATCCAAAATGTGTTGGTTCCTCAGTGCTCCAAGTCATGTGAGACAAAAACCAATCCCTTAGGCAGCCCCCAAAAGGTAGAACAGCAGACAAACATGCCATTTTTCTTTTTTCTTTTTTCTTTTCTTTTCTTTTCTTTTTTTTTTTTTTTTTTGAGACAGAGTTTCGCTCTTTTTACCCAGGCTGGTGTGCAATGGCACGATCTCGGCTCACCGCAACCTCCGCCTCCTGGGTTCAGGCAATTCTCCTGCCTCAGCCTCCTGAGTAACTGGGATTACAGGCATGCGCCACCATGCCCAGCTAATTTTTTGTATTTTTAGTAGAGACGGGGTTTCACCATGTTGACCAGGATGGTCTCGATCTCGTGACCTCATGATCCATGGGTGGCCTCGGCCGCCCAAAGTGCTGGGATTACAGGCTTGAGCCACCGCGCCCAGCCTGCCATTTTTCTTCTACCCTCCGAGGGACAAGCCACAATTTCGGCATTTTCTCGTGATCACCTGAGGCTGGCTAGAAGAAAGGGTGAACTACTATGGCTTTTCTTAACCCTGTAAACGCAGCTGTTCTTAGATTTGTACCTTCCCCGGGCACTACACTTTCTTAAGTGCTTTCTGGAGTTTTCATATAGGTTTTTAGGACCATATATTGTTGTTAAGTTAGTGTCTCAAGGTTACGAAGTCTGGGGCTTCCTATTTCTTCATCTTACTGATACCACTCTGACACAGCTGTCAATTTTGATTGCTATTTGGTGAGTGCATTCCTTTCCTACAGTATGCCTACTCTTTCTAGTTTGCTATTTCAAATCTGCAGACTTAAGAAACCAGACAAGTTGGCTTTTAAAGAATGTTATGACTTATAAAAGTAAATGTTTTACAAAAACAAAACAGTGTTCATTCAGGGTACAGATTTAAAAAACAAAAACAAAACAAAAAAACCCAGAACAGAACTGAGAAACTAAGGATGAAGACTTCAGACCACTGTTTCCAGAGGTTCACTTACTGTTAGTGCTGATGTTTCCTTGGCCCATGATTAACAAAGTCAGACTTCTGAATATATACTTTCATTGCTATATGACAGCCTTACATTTGTTCTGTATTTCTATAAAAACCAGTATCTTAAAGCCCTGGATTTTGCTTCTACACAAGTCACATTCTATTTAAGCCTTCTATCCTGGTTGAAAGACCACTTTCTCTTAGTGTCTGATCCTTCCAAATATAAAAGGCCACCTGCAAGTTTCATATATTGTTTTCTCACCAGTCATAGTGAGTACTGCCAAAAGGTTTATCCATCCTTATCAGTAAGCCAATCAGTAAATTCACTGAGCAGCCTGCCTCCTGGAATATATGCTATATCTATAAACATGTTCAATTCAGATCTGATCCCACTATCTAGGAATCAATCTAACTTCAGAGAAAAACTAAGTAAAGTGAGGAAGTAACACATGCTCCCAGAGTGACCTGGAGTTGCAGAATTCAGGAGCCTAATTATAGGTACCTGCTTCACACACATTTCTTATTTAAGTGTCTGAGGCCATATGGTAGAAAGATAACAGAATCAAGACTGGAGTGAGAGCTTTTCTGCAAATCAATATTCCTGGTTTCAAGCAAGACATTGGCACAGGGCCTGTGAAGTCCCGGGTAGCCTTCCTGTAAGGGAGCATTCCCCTATTACCTCAGCCTCAAAAGAAAGAACTGATTCCGTTTGTATTTCTTGTCAATAGATAAGGAATGGCTAGACATTAGCAACTGTGGAGGACAAGCTAGTGGTCATAAGTGAGTGAATGGATTGAATAAATGATCATTTAATCAATCCATCCACTAAAAGGTAACTACAGTTAGGGGACCCTGGTATGTATTTTCCTGTCCTTTTAGACCAGGAGTCATTGACTCTAGGTTAGAAAAGGTAGGATGACAATCTCCCAGCCAAACTTACTCTCTAATATAAAAAAATTTTAAGACATTTGAATTCTCAGCAGTGAGATTCTTGTCCATCTTCCTGAATATAGATACTCGGCTTACCTTAAATTACATAAGAGTTTGCAGAAGAAGGTTGCATGGGCACAAGCCTCAATCATCAGTCCCCGAGAACGGCCCTGCAAATACAGCCAGATGCGATCTTCCTCTGGAACCCCATACTCAAACTGCAGGGACTCAAGGTCCTTGAGCAAGTCCATTTCCAAGCCACTATTTCCTGCAGTGATAGACACTGATTAATTTGGCTCCCTGTCTTGGTAGAAGAGGGGTCTGTGTAGGAGGTATGTGTATGATGGTGTGTGTGCCCAGGTCACAAGCACTCATGATGGTGGGCTTCAGCACCTCTCCACTCCCAGATTCTGAACTTGGAATTCACACTCTAGAGTGTGTTTGAGGATTCCTAATCACTGACTGCCCATGAATCATCTGTACAAAAACCCAGAGTACTGTTCCTCCACACAGGCTACAGACACTGTTTTCAGCAGCTGAATTTACAACAGCAGTTGAATTTTACAGGTGTTGTTGGGCCAGGACATTTTCTTTCCAATTCCTCCTGGGTTTCGGAAATAGGACTGAACACATAAAATCACATTTCAAAGAAATTCTTCCCTTTCACTAAACTCTGTTATCCACAAGGTAGAAAAGAACCCAAACTAAATATCACTGTCCTCTGTCTAGGGCAGGGACATCTAGATTTTACAAACTAAACTCAAAGTCATGTAAACCCATCAATATACATCTATCACCAACAGAGAAGATTGGCTCTGCTCCTCAGTACTTCTGTCCTGGAAGGTAAGAACTACATATCCAAGGAGAATTACCCAAGACACTTGTCATTATGACTCCTTAACTACCAGATTATGGTCTCTGAGTCTTAAAGGGGCCAGCTCCACTTAGAGGTTTTTCTGATTTGAATATGAGGACATGAGTTCCTTCTACTATTTCTAGGAGTACTACACTAGAGCAGTATGAGACCCTCTTTTTCCCAACTGAAGATTCTGGATTTCTAGGTTTTTGGTTTTTTGTTTGTTTGTTTGTTTGTTTGGCAGACTGGAATGTCACAGATCTTAGCACTACTTGAGTTAGTTTACAACTCCTTTTTGTGTTCAAGAAACCAAAAAATTTTTCAGGTGAAATTCACATAACATAAAAGTAGCCATTTTAAAGTGAACAATTCATCAGTACATTCAGAGTGTCGTGCAACCACCTCTGTCTAGTTCCAAAATACTTTCATATTCCCAAAAGGAAAGCCCACACCCATTAAGCAGTTACTGCCCATCCCTCCCCACCCTCTCAGCCTCTGGAACCACCAATCTGCTGTCTGTATGGATTTACCTATTCCAGATATTTTATATAAATGGAATCATACAATATGTGACCCTTTGTGTCTGGCTTCTCTGATCCCTTTTCTAGGAAGGTTATTATGTGACACAATCTCTTTAAAAGCAAAGTCTCGCCGGAAGCGGTGGCACATGCCTGTAATCCCAGCACTTTGGGAGGCCGAAGCGGGTGGATCACGAGGTCAAGAGATCGAGGCCATCCTGGTCAACATGGTGAAACCCCGTCTCTACTAAAAATACAAAAAATTAGTTGGGCGTGGTGGCGCGTGCCTGTAATCCCAGCTACTCAGGAGGCTGACGCAGGAGAATTGCCTGAACCCAGGAGGCGGAGGTTGTGGTAAGCCGAGATCGCACCATTGCACTCCAGCCTGGGTAACAAGAGCGAAACTCTGTCTCAAAAAAAAAAAAAAAAAAAAAAAGCAAAGCCTCAGCCAGGCGCAGTGGCTCATGTCCATAATCCCAGCACTTTGGGAGGCTGAGTCGGATGGATCACTTGTGGTCAGGAGTTCGAGACCAGCCTGGCCAACATGGTGAAACCCCATCTCTACTATAAATACAAAAATTAGTCAGGCATAATGGCACATGCCTGTAATCTTGGCTGCTAGGGAGGCTGAGGCAGGAGAATTGCTTGGACCTGGGAGGCAGAGGTTGGTTGCAGTGAGCCGGCATTGGTTTCAGCCTGGGCGATAGGGGAGACTCCGTCTCAAAAAATTAAAATAAAATAAAAAACAAAGTCTCTGTACTTGAAAGGAGGGGCATGGAAGTTCTCATCAAACCTAAGAAACACTTCCTTACACCAAAACCGTCAGTAGGTAATCCTAATGTTGCCAAGTAATACTTTCTGTTCCAAAGAAAAAAGAAGCCCCAAACCTAAACTAGTGTGACCAATGCAGCATGAGTTGTAGACATGAATTCTAGGCCTATCCTTTACTCATGCATTCTCAAAAGTGGGGATTCAGTTGTTACTGTTTTGTATTATGTCACCTTGCTAGGCTGAACTGCAATTTCCAGAATTCCATTCTCTATGTTTCTGGTTAAGATGGACCACTGGAGAATTTTTTTTTTTTTTTTTTTTTTTTTTTTTTGAGACAGAGTCTCCTTCTGTCACCAGGCTGAAGTGCAGTATCTCGCCTCACTGCAATCTCTGCCTCTGCCTCACAGGTTCAAATGATTCTCCTGCCTCAGCCTCCCGAGTAGCTGGAACTACAGGCGGGCACTACCACACCCAGCTATTTATTTTTAGTAGAGATAAGGTTTTACCATGTTGGCCAGAATGGTCTTGATCTCTTGCCCTTGTGATCCGCCTGCCTTGACCTCCCAAAGTGCTGGGATTATAGGCGTTAGCCACCACGCCTGGCCACCGAAGATATTTTTGTGCAAGATCAGGAGGGTGGAGATGAACAGCTACCAGCCTATATTTCAGTGTGTGCAATGTGGGGAAGTACTTTCGTAGTTCACACACGTTGTTGTTTATCTGCTGGGTACCTTGCTGGTGTGGGGCAACAGTTGGGCCTGTAACTGCTACATCTTCCCTGGTTCCTCCTTCAGTTGCTCACTCCTGGGTGTTTTTCAGTTCCATGACAAAGGCCACTAACTGTTCCTGCAGGGCACCCACTTTATCAAGGTTGGAGGCTGTGAAAACTGACATGGGTTCCAGTCTCTTCTCATGGGTTCTAGCTTGTCCCTGCTCACTTACTTTATGACGATCTTCCCTTCTTCACAGCCTTCCCTATGGATTTCAAGCTCTACCACTGGGCAAACAACTACCTTAGACAGACCCTCCAGCTGCCATACTTGAGTAGAAGTGCTCAAACAGAAAAGACAGGCTCTACTCCTCAGTACTTCTCATTCAATTTCTCTTTTTTGAGATGGAGTCTCACTCTGTCGCCAGGTTGGAGTGCAGTGGCATGATGTCGGCTCACTGCAACCTCCACCTCCCGGGGTTCAAGCCATTCTTCTACTTCAGCCTCCCAAATAGCTGGGATTACAGGCATCTGCCACCACATCCAGCTAATTTTTGCATTTTAAGTAGAGATGGAGTTTCACCATGTTGGCCAGGATGATCTCAATCTCCTGACTTTGTGATCCACCTGCCTCAGCCTCCCAAAGTGCTGGGATTACAGGTGTGAGCCACCATGCTCAGCCTCATCCAATTTCCCTGACAAGTCAGAGAAAGGTCAAAAGTCTCTAACAAAATTGCATATATAAATTAGATAATGCACATATATGCTTAGTGCTTCTGCTTCTCTAAATGAACCCTAACCAATATATTAGTTAATAAAGTAACCACTGTTAGTTTCAAGATGAACCAATAACTTTAGTACAATCTAGCAAATTAAACTTTTGTTTCTTCAATAGCAAGAAGGGTGATCAAGAAAGGAACTAAATATGAGGTTACCTAGAATTACAAAGTAGAGAAGCAAAAGATGGAATCCAATCCCCTTAAAGCAGAGTTTCTCAACACTGGCATTACTAACATTTGGGCAGTATGATTCTTTGTTGTGGGGCTGTCCTGCGCATTGTTAGGATCCAATGACCTTAGCAGCATCCCTGACCTCTACCCACTGTATGCCAGTAGCACTCCCAGTGTGGCAACAAAAAGCAACTTCGGACATTGCCAAATGTCTCTTGAGGGGCAAAACTGCCTCCAGTTGAAAACCATATTGCCTTAAAGCATGGTATGGGCCTGGCGCGGTGGCTCACGGCTGTAATCCCAGCACTTTGGGAGGCCGAGGCGGGTGGATCATGAGGTCAAGAGATCGAGACCATCCTGGTCAATATGGTGAAAACCTGTCTCTACTAAAAATACAAAAAATTAGCTGGGCATGGTGGCGCATGCCTGTAATCCCAGCTATTCAGGAGGCTGAGGCAGGAGAATTGCCCGAACCCAGGAGGTGGAGGTTGCGGTGAGCTGAGATCGCGCCATTGCACTCCAGCCTGGGCAACAAGAGTGAAACGCCGTCTCAAACAAACAAACAAACAAAAAAAAAAAACATGGTATGTGCCTTTGTAGGAGCATCTTCTCATTTCCTTCTGACTTCACCCATGCCACAGACACAGGAGCACAGAACTCTATAAAACCTTAGCTGGGCTTGATGCTGCATGCCCATAGTCCCAGCTAAGCTACTCAGGAAGCTGAAGCGGGAGGACTGCTTAAGCCCGGGATGTCAAGGCTACAGTGAGCCATGATGGTGTCACTGCACTCCAGCCCAAGTGATGGAGCAAAACCCTGTCTATTATAAAATATAGGCCAGGCATGGTGGTTCACGCCTGTAATCCCAACACTTTGGGAGGCCAAGGCAGGCAGATCACCTGAGGTCAGGAGTTTGAGACCAGCCTGGCCAATATGGTGAAATCTCATCTCTAGTAAAAATACAAAAATTAGCTGGGTGTGGTTGCAGGTGCCTGTAATCCCAGCTACTGTGGAGGCTGAGGCAGGAGAATCACCTGTACCCGGGAGGCAGAGGTTGTAGTGAGCCGAGATCACGCCATTGCACTCCAACCTGGGTGACACAGCGAGACTCCATCTCAAAAAAACCAAACAAACAAACTCTACAAAATTTTAGATTATCTAATGAGTCCAGAGAAAGAAAGGGACTCACCCAGCATCACATAACTAGTTGGTGGCAGAGCTGGAAAAAGTCAGGTCTTGTGTCTCCCAGCACCGTGCTTTCTGTTAACCACACCTGCTTTGCCATAGCACTGTTACTCTATAACGTGACATGTGCTGACAGGCTGCTGAATGCAGTCACGGAAAAGACTTGTAATGATCCTAAGATTCTGAGCAATTATTTCATCATTCTGCACTAAACCACCAGGAGTGGGAGAGAAGGCACCAAGGAAGAAATATCTTTATTAGGAGTCTAGGCATGTCAGAAAAACCCAGTTCAGTCACAAAGAAGAGAGGCAAATATTGGTACAGAGGAAGAACCCAAGTGTGAAAATAAAACCTCCATCTAAATATCCTAACAGAAATGCTACTGAGTTTAGCCTGGGTGAAACTTCTGAAAGCTCCTGGTGAAATGAG